CTTTCTTGTCCATCCTAAAACATAAACAATCTTAATGCTAGTTTACAGAAAACTTTTTATGACAGAGATCAGACACTTCTGAAAGAAGTAATTTTCAACTGTAGCTGAATCCAAGCCACACCCAAAGTAAAAAATGAGACTGGTGGTGACACCACACAGGGTCTAAGACCAGGGCTGGTACTGATCTTGTAACTGGATACAAATAGGTGGAAACCAAATGTCCTAATTGTCTCATCGTACTACATGGAGAAAAATCAAAATGAAGCTACCTTGATTCCTGCGTTAAACATCGTGACTGCTGTAGTAGTTCGAATCAAGGCATTCGTGGAAGGTTTCCAAGCAAGAACTCTTACAAAAAAAAGAAAAAAAAAACAACATGTTTCAGAGAAGTTAACTATCGATAAAACATAAGCACCGCAATTACACAGGCAATAAGCTGAATGATGGCCTATTCAATTAACAAAGTGGTTGTTAACAGTAAAGCACTGACGTTGTCTACACTATGAAATGGTACAACTGATTTCCTGGGAAGACTAGAAATGGCTAGTGGTCTTCATCTTCAAAGGGTGAGAGGCTGGGAATGTTCATCAAGCATCTGTTTTCTTACCTGCTGACAATAAGTGAAAACAGCCATAGGTTGCTCATGATGAGATTGAGAGGAAAACTGAACTAAGTGGAAGAAACAAAACCACAAATCAGAAAATGTCTCATTTTCAAGAGGACAGTGTAGTCACTTGGCTATGGTTGAACAATTCCAGCAGAAACAATTATCTGGGAGAAAGGACAGCTTAAGTCTTCTCCTTCCCATGAACTACACAACTGTGCTCTAAATTCATATGCTGGGTCACCCTTCACTTATTAATATGAAAATCTGAGAATGAAATTATAGTTCTTTCCTCACCTCTGGTGCAAGGTGCTCCATAGTCATGAGTTCTGGCCCATGGCCAAACAGATTGCGCAAGGGATTCTGCTCCAGTCTACGACAAAGCAAATCGACATTTGAAATTTAAAAAATCTGTGGCTATTATTGCTCCAGAAGGTTGATAGGAATCTGATTTGTGAAATGTATCCATCTATTTGAGATGCAATCACACCTTCCTCTCCTGGTAAGTAAATCTGTGAGCACAGCTCTGTGACAGATTTCTGGGCATTCCAGTCCCATGCAAAGATTTTCTTTCAAGAACAGCTGAAAAAATCCAAAAGCCTGACTTTTATAAAGAATACATGGAAATCTATAAAGATATCACACCAAATACCATCAAATCTGTACATTTTAAGTTGTTCTAAAGTAAGTATTTATTAGCCAATTTGATATCTACACAGACACATAATGAGGTGATTTACCCAGTCACATTCTGACTTTACACCATGTTTATTGGCTTGGGTAATTACCAGCTAGAGGTAGCAGGTATGTGCCAGGATAAATTCCAAAGAAATTCTGCAACCCAAACAAATCAATCTCTATTGCTACAGAGTAAATTATGATAGACATCATGATGTACCCATTGTCTTGGTTTTAAGGAACCAACTGACGCAGGAACAGCTGAAGTGAAAAGACACTCCAGACATTTGGCAACTGCCCCTTTGCTGGGGATTGCATTTCTGCCCTTCAAAGTGAGCTACAAACTTCAATTTCAAATATATAAGGGGAATTTGCAAAATACTCTTAAATACAAATATGAAAAAGGAAGTCACGTATCAGTGACTTAGGAGCCTGCTTGACTTGTCTATGACATTAGATGACAGGGAAGCTCTCACCTCGACATTGCTGCTGCAAGAATGCCAATACTTGTCTCCTTAGGAGGAAAGGATGAATGTCCTGGCTCTTTTTCCACAGTGAAGTTCAGCGTCATTGAACCCTTTTCTGTGATAGCAATGCTGGTGAATGATAAATACATAAATGATTAATGCAACTCCAAACACACATGCACAGACTACAGGTAAAAAGAACTACTCTGCATATTTTTAGCATCATAAAAAACACCAAAGAAGCAGTAACAACACATCCTTAACACAATCCCTACATGTTTGGAGGACTGATGCCTTGGCTGCTTCTCCAGTGAGCAGACCACAGCATACGATTAACATGCTTGCACTAGCTAAGTGGAACATCGTGCTTTTGTCAGCACAACTGTGATGGACAGCAAGCAAAAGCTCAAGGTCCTTGACTTGCACTTTGTGCCACTGCTGTAGCTTTAGCAACACCAACGCTGCTACATGCCTTGAAAATGTATTTTATTGACATTAGCACGGTCATTCCTCACAAATTAATTCTTGAAAATGAATCACTTTCACCACGGTCAATTGTGTTCTCTCTTACTTACACAGCTACTGGCTTCTTCACTCCCGCAATGATGCCATCTAGTATCGCACTTCCCTCATCTAGTAAGAAGGAGAGTTTCACTCCTCTAGCTTCCAACAGAGCTGCAATCTTCATTGCTCCCTTCCGACCATGCACCTGTGAGAATCCAGTCAGACGAACTGGTCAGATTAAGCCACGCCATTGGGAAGAATACTGGAAAACATCTTGCTGTTGACAGTGACCAGTGCTACAATGCAAAGAATGCAAGAAATCCCCTAATGAACAGCTCTAGAGCAACCTGTCGATAAAAGATTCTTCCTAGCAAAATTCACTGGAGATTGTTAACGGCCTAGTAGCAGATGAATTTATATCCACACTGAGGAATGCTCTCATTCACGAGTCACTGAATGTTGCTTTGAATCCTACTAGTTCTTGGACACAATGGTATCTCAGAGCTATAAGCTCCACAGATTAATTAGCCATTTTAAGGAGATACTCATTTTAACTACTAACAATTCTTTGTCTTTATATTTTGAAAATGAAAAAACAAAACCACCTCATCTGTCTCTTTGTACTGTTTACTTGTGGGTATACCCACAACCAAAGTGAAATATTTTTGTTAGCTCTTCCTGATCATTTGGAACAGCCATGTAAATCTTAGGCAAGCTTTTCCTGTATTATATATATTCCAAAATGTGACTCCTGCTGGACCTTCCATGCAGAAAAGATTTTGAAATAACATTCTACTGTTTTCTTTTCTCTTTGCTCATCACACTAAACCCTTTGTCGATGTCACTTAAAGCCAAACAATCAATATATAACTATGACCACGTGCCTGACACAGTATCTACCCACATAACCAAGAAAAACAGGAAAGACTTTCTAGCTAAACCATGTTTAAAAATTAAGCCTTGTTACATACATGAACAATGCAAACAACTAGTTGTTTTGACAAAATGAAAGAAAATACCTCTTCATCATGTCCAATGCCAACATAGAAAGATCTGCGGGGTCTGTAATTTCTTCTCAGCAAAAATTCTAGAGCTTGCAGAATACCCTGCAGAGAAAAAAGCAGAATGTGTTGTACTATTCTTGTGTGTTAGTAAGGAGAATAAATGTAAAAGAATGCAATGTAACGTAAAAGAAATACGATGCATTCAGAGCCCTTAAGGAAACTTTGTCCTGTTCACAGTTGAGCTTTTATTTCTACAACTCCTACTGATTATATTCATATTCTCTGGAAAACACACTGCAATATTTTCGATCAATAATGCTTAAGACTTAGTGTGCTACACAGCGTCAGCGTACATACACAAAATACAGTGTAGGCTTGTTCTTGCTACTGATGAAGTCAGTGACAAACTGCCCAGGAAGCACGACAGAGTTATAACTGCCCAAGGAATTCACTGTTCCTTTAAACTGCCTATCCTACACACAGTTTGGCACTGAGTTCAGCTACCAAATCCGTTTATTTTAATAAGCGGTATGTTTTGTACAAAAAGTGCTAAGAAGACAGAAACAGAAGAACAAGAAACTTAATCTGAAGAATGAGAAATGAAATCTACCATTTGCTGCATTTTTTCATCTCACCTGTTTTTTCAATTTAAGCTAGTTAATTTTTTTACATTTCAGCAGAAATTTATATCGCTTCTACCTTGCCAGCACCCGTTTTTGCCGTGTTCGCTGAAGTTGTTGGTTTTTATTGTCCATTTGTGGAGTTACTAGTGCAGTTCACAGCAGAAGGAAGCACCAAACCAAAGGTTTAAGTTGCAGAGCTTTGAAACTGACGATTAAACAACTTGAAGAAACTTTCTAGGAGTACGGCCTATGCCGTGACAAGCAGCCACAGTATCCGTGACACTGGTTTGCTAAACATCTCTTTAAATTTAAATACAGAGCTGTCATGGAAGTAATCTCTGCAAATCACAAAGGACTGTTTTCCTTATTAATTTTTCTATCAACCTTTTCCCAAATGAGAAATCCTTCACAGATCCATGTTTTTTGTACTTCATTCCTCCCAAATGTACTTAGTACAACAGCTCTTTGTTCTGCCACAGACTAGATAACAAAAGATATAAGGTTGTTTGACTATAATATTAAATAAAGATTGTTTATTTTGAAACTCAAGCCTTTTCAAAGGGCCAAGTTTGGCTTTGAATGCCCATATGACACCTGGAAAAAAGTAAAAAGTCTATGCCTGGTTTCAAACACAGCATTTGACATAAAATCTAAATATGGCATTTAACCAAATACATCTGCATCTGTGAATATGTTTTTCTGTATCCTCTAAGAGCTTTAACTCTGCTTTCTTCAGTAATAAAAGACCACTTCATCTCTAGGAAAATTTGGAAGAAAACCACAGGGCTTAGGAATTTATCACTAACATCCTGCATTTAAAGAGGGGCAAGAGAGACATTATAGTAAATCTCACGAGAATAGATTCCTCCAATCTGCCTTTTTCAGGCTTTGTATCTCTCTGAAACGATATTACCCAGATGACGTACTATGGCAGAGTTTTTGTTATCCAGCGTTCCTCGTCCATAGATGAAACCTTCATGCTCTGCAGCTGAGAAAGGAGGGAAATCCCAGCCCTCTGGGGGCGCAGGCACAACATCCATGTGTGCAAGCAGCATATAGGGCATCATTTCAGGGTTCGAACCCTGAACAGCAAAGAGATGGCTGTATTTCCCAACAATTTCATGTTGAATGAACTTTGAAGAAAATACAGCCGGGAAGACTGTTAAGAAAAAAATTAAAAACACATGAAAAATTAACAATAATGTCCAATTTTATCATTATATACTCCACAGAGACGTCATCTATTTAGCCTCAAGGGGAACACTGTAAGACTGACCACAACAAATTTGCTTCAGGAAGCAGATGCACAGCTTCATTCTCACACTTCTACCAATCCATCTCACTTTGTATTTAAGACTTTCCTAAGCAAACCCAGGAACTGTTGTTCACCAGTGCTGCAGCTGTTTTTCAGGTAGCAATGATGGGACTGCCAAAAAAACAGGCTGAAGCAGGGGTAGGCTTCCCCCATTTTTTTTTTTTTTTAATGGCAAGGTCATTTAACCATCTCAAGGACCAAAACCCATCATTGCAAAAAGACATTTGAACCTTCTCCGTCCTAGCTTTGCCCATTGCTACACCAAAGCACACTGTTGCAGAGGTGACCTACACATGCCATTTTTGCCAGTCCTTTCTTGAGGAAAAACAAAATAAAAATCTGTTCCATTACATTCAAGAACCACATAGACTCTCTTCACTTTGTTTATGAAAATAAAATTTAGCAGCAGAGATTAGTAAGAATGAAAGTTTAGTACCTTTCTGAATGTAATTCCCAAATTCTGCCATGGCAGTTGTATTCAAGTCCTCTGGAGATATGGAAACAGTTGGGATTTTAATAGCACCTTCAATGAAATACAAAATAGAACTCAATTGACACTGAAATCAGTCAAACAATACTTGAATTGCATTTCAAAAGAGAAAGTAATATTTATGTTCCTGAACATTTTCCAGGCTTTAAAGATTATTTCACAGGATAGTAAGAGCTGCCACTATCAAAAAAGACTGATGTACTTCAGCTGAGCTGCGCACATGCAGCACACCAGTATTTCCTTCCAGTTTCAGCCAAGGTATTTCTCTAGCTACTTCAACTCCATTTTTCATCCTAAAGTGTCAAGTGATATTGTTAGAAATGCTACTGTCCAGAAGCAGCTGCATTTTGCTAGGGTGAACTGATTCCTCATAGCCATAAAGTATTCTGGCAGCTAAGCAGGCAGCTTGGTTGGCAGTTCAAGGTTCTTTTTCAATAGGAAGTCAGGTTGTGACGGCAAGACTGTAATAGCACCTTCTTTCATACTGCTCTAACCCTTAAAGATATAGAGAGAGACAGGCCTTTTGTGGCTCCTTCTAGCCTGCTCTGTCATTCAAACAGGGTCAGACAAGGCTGCTCTCCAACATCGCATCACCATCATGCAAAGGATAGGTATAACTTAGTCCCAATGACTGCTGCCTTTCCTAAGAGCATCTGTTAAGTGCGGGTACAGATTCTTTTAAAGGTCATGTTATTCAAGAAGAAACACAGCAATAAGTATCTCTTATATCCCTGCATTTTCCCATTAAAAAGTACATAAACAGAATTTGCTAGGCAATAAATCTTTCAAACCAACAATGCCACGTTTACAGAACCCAACCCCTACTTGAACAGCCAACGACCATTGCTCCGTGCCAGATCACGGTTTCCTGCAAAGGGCCAGCCCTCGTGAGATCTAAGTATCCTCAAAGTCTTCTGCAGAAGACCGTGTCAGGGAGCACAAACACACCCTGACTTGTTACAGACAGGCTGCCTGCAGCAAAGTGATGTGCAAGGTTTCAGCCAGCAAGAAACAAAAAAACGCGACAGTGATTTATCCAGTGGACAACGCGATGCCTAGCAAACACAGTCACAGGGCGCCCGCAGCTTTCTGCGTGTACCAGAGGGAAACACTGATAATCAACGTGGGAAGATGGCTTCAGGAGAATAAACAACCGGTTTTCTCCCAGGGGAAAGCACCTGAGCAAGTGTCCTTCTTCACTGCTGCCCGGCTCCCACCCGTGCCCCGCGGCCGGCCCTCGACGCCAGCCTCTCCCTGCGGAGACCTCGGGACGCCCCGGCCGCGACGCCGGGGACAGAGGGGGCCGGCGACAACCCCTGAGCCGGGGCGGGGGGCACACAGGCTGCAGGCCCCCGAGGGGGCCCGGTGGGCCGGGGGGGGGGGGCCAGCCAGGGCGGCCGGCCGGGGCCCC